ATTAATATTTTATCTATTTTTAAAATAATAAAAGACAAAACTTATAATTATGATACAATATAACATGTTACTAACAAATAATGCCTGACACTTTAAGATGTAATGGACCAAAAAAACAAAAAAACCACACACTTTAGGATGTGATAATAATTCATGTACCCCTAGTTTTAGTTGGTTAATCATAGGAAAATACATTGTGGGTTACTCTTTAAATTAATCAAATACATAAGCTATGCAAGATTTTTACAAGGAGGACTTTGAATGAAATGTAGGTACAAGAAGGACAATGAATGAAAAATAAAAGTAGAGGGACTATAATTGGCTTTAACCACCTAAGGGGTGTTAGTGTTAGACGGTGTTAGTAACGGAGTTAGGTGAGGGAGGTAACTAGTATGAAAATTGAAAGTAGAGGGAGGACAGTAGTATGTTTTGGGAAAGTAGAGGGAGGTTTTTGAATGATTTCAAAGTATAGGGAGGACAATGAATGAAAAAGGAAAGTAGAGGGACTATAGTTGGCTTTAACCTTTTTTTATATGGATGCATAAAAGGATTAACTGTTTTCGTATGACAAATATTAATTTTTTTAAAAAATTTAACCTTAAATCAAGATTTTGTAATTAAAAGAGAATTATAGAAGTTCAAAAAGGCACTTCAGAAGGCCGCAAATTGTAGTCTTTGTGGACAGCATGTGGAAGATAGCAACCATCTTTTTCTCCACTGTCCGGTTACCGCACAAATCTGAGCAATGTGCTACCAATGGTGGGATTTCTCTACCGCCATTGCTGGTTCATTTTGGAATTCTTTCATCCAACATGAATCCTTAGTCATTGAAAGTAGTGAATAGCTGGGTTGGGTTACAGTTTGGTTTTCTCTTGTTTGGGCCATTTGGACTACCAAGAACAATATAATCTTGGTTAAATACCCTTTTTGATTCCTCTGCTATTGAAAAAAGCCTTTTTTGGTCCTTATACTAAAAAAATCCCCATTTTAGTCCCTAAAGTTTAACTTTTTGGTCCCTCTGTTAAATTTTTACTTATCTGGCACGTTCATTAACGGAATCTCTTGATTATTTTTTATATAAATAATATAATAAATTACGTGAAAATTACCTGTACAAAATTATAATCTATGTAAGCATTTCATTTAAATATTTTATCTACAAGTACAAATTAAAAATTTTATTTATTAATTAATGAATTAAATGAGTTTAATTAGCTTGAATTTCTTCCTCTTCTTCTTTCTCCTCCTTATCCTCCGCCTTATCCTTATCCTCGGCATCATGGCATTATGTAATCACCATCCTTTTCCCCTCCCCTTCATCATCCTGGGTTTCGACCCTCTTTTCATTTTTATTTTTATTCATTTGGATGTATCCATATTCCATAATGGAGCTGAATGAAACCAAAGTTTCATATTCGTTTTTGAATTAGAGAAGTTAAGTTCTGGGTTGATTATGAAACCCAAATTGTGTTTGATATGTGGCTTTGAAATTGCAGGGGATAGATTCATATTGTTGTGTTCATGTTGCTATGAACTTCATAACTTGATTCATTCATGACTTATGTTTAACAGGAAAGAAGGATTGAAAATCTGCAAAGAGAAGGATCTATTTTGCAGAGAAGAAGTTAAGATTGACAGTATTAATAAATCACTTTAATTAGTAATTAATTTTTATTTTTACCAATGAAAATAGTTTTATGAAAATAATTTTATGAATTCTCAATTATATCTTGACTAATCTCACATGTAAAGAGTTGATTACGAATGAGAAACAAGACTTTTGAAAGAAAGAAGATAATATTTAGGGAGGAATCTGAAAGAAACTGGAAAAACAAAGAAAGGAGAATTGCAGAAAGTGGGTCCTATCAATTAAGTTTTTTTTTTTTTTTTCACATGAAGAGAGTGACATGGAAGGGTATATTAAGTCTACATAAGCATTTTTACACGGTGGAATATCCACATTAGCAGTTTTTGTTAAGATAACTTGCCATGTGAGTAAAAATTAACGGAGGGACTAAAAAGGGATCATATTTCAAAATTTAAGGACCAAAAATGGGAGATTTTTTCAGTACAGGGACCAAAAAGCAGCTTTTTTCAATAGTAGAGGGACCAAAAATGGTATTTCATTAACCTATAATCTTTAGAGGTGGATCCTTTGATTTGACAAAGATTTTTGATCAAATTCAGGCTCAAGCCTACCTTTGGGTCAAAAACAAAGGAATGGAAGGACAATTATGTTTCTCTGATTGGATTCTCAACCCCAGATGCTGCAAGATTTTGTAAATGAGCCTTCTAATGCTGTACTTTCACGCCAATACATGTTGATCAATTTATATGGGTTTAAGTACCTTTTGTACCCACTTAATAAAATCTTTATCTTTCAAAAAAAAAAAAAAAAAGCACTTCGGAATTATTATATTGCAAGTTTCATCTCCTTAGGCAATTGGTCTCATCGTGAGGTATAAAGGTCATCATCAATAGAAAGAGACAATTGACATTATAGCATTAGATATTACATTACTTTGAAGGACCAAACAAGCAACTCTTTAGTCTTTACTGGTGACATGTTTTAGGTTAGCTGTAATTGATTTGGTCCTTGTTAAGGCCCATGAATTGGACAAATTATTCTCTATATCATGCTCTAAAGTCTAAACACGAGAAAATGCGGTGTACACGAGTCTTTGTTGGAGACAGAAAGCCTTCGCTAACAAATTTATATTGACAATGCTATGGTTGAAATGTAATATAATATTATTATAAGTTTATAATTATCATGTGTTATTAAATAAATATATAATATTATATATAGTTAGGTTCATGAATGAAGAGTCAATTACTCTATTTGTTTAATTTTAGTATTCTTAATTTAATTTTTTAAATATAAAATTTAGATAAAAATTTAATAATTTATATGAATAACAATTAATTTTTTTTCAATATGTTATTTTTATTGAATATTTTTATTTGATTAAAAAAAGTTTCAAATATCACTTATATAATATACGAAAGTTTTTATCTGAAATTCATATATTAAAAATTAAAAAAGTCAAATTAAGATTATCAAAGTTAAATGAATGTCGTATATAATGATATATCATATATACAAGAGAAAGTAATGGTATTTGATCTCCTGTGGTTGTGTATATAGCTTGACATATATACAAGAGAAATGAAATATTAAAGTCATTAATACATTTATTTCAATCGAAAATTAAATACTTTGAAACCAAAAATTTCAAGCATCTAGAATAACCAGGCTGACTTATCCTTTATTTCCGATCCTTCTACCAAGTCTCTTGTACATGTATCCAGTTGAA